AATTTAATCCTAGTTTTTAAAGTTTTCCTTCGCTTTGTTAAGCCAAATAAAAAGCGATTCAACAAAAAACACGTCGCTACCAAATGTTTACCAAGTTTATTCCAACAAAAACTTAAGATTTTTTTTTAAATCTTAGAAGTTCTTAGCCTATTATTTTTACTTTATTTTCAACTAGCTGACCCGGCGAACTTTGTTTCGCCTTAAGATTTTGTATTTTATTAAGTTCAATTTTTTATTATGATAATATAATATAAATAAATATAATAAAAAAATATATTATTTTATTGATTCTTTGTTGGCCAGGTATTTTGGTGCATCGTTTGCACTCTTCAGTCAAGCAAACAAGGTGCTTATAGATGACATTTTTTATTTAATATCAGGCGATAAATTTATAGATTTTATGTTTGTTGCGTTTTATTATACCACGTTTTATTTCTCGTCCCACTGAAACAGGATAAAATTCCATATCCGTCTCCTGGCTCTAAGCTACCACCTCACAAATTTTCAGCCAAATCGATTCAACCGTTTTTGAGTTATAAATAGTACACGACTTTCTTTAATATACAAATGTAGTAGAAGAATATAATATAATAGATTTTAGCTCAAAATTGGTAGGTTTGAGGTTAACAATCCGACAAGTATTTAATTGTTGCATGTACATACATATACACAGATCCAGAGAAACAATACTTAATGTACGTTTCAAACACATTGTAAATGATAATTTAAAACTTCTTTAGAAACAATATTTTACCAATCAAGTATAACTAACTCATAAATATTTTCTAGTTCTGTAACCGTTATCTTTGAACAATAAAACGAGAAGTATGATTTGTGACTCGTCGACAGCTCACTAGGGTCGCTTGCGCCAATAGACTCGCTGACAGATTTACTGCTAACCATTAGACAACAAACAGACGGACAGATGACTGATATTAACAACAGACTTACAACGTGAGCTCTATATACACAGCACGTGTCCATGTTTGGTATTGTTAAACCATCCAAACACACAATACAATACCCGCACTACACGAAACCTGTTACAATATATCTGCAATATCTCAGAACAACAACAACCTCTTTAGGTATCGGCCTCAAATTTCTGAATCTGTTTCATGATCATTTTTAAATCTAATAGGCAAGTAGGTTATCAGCCTCCAGTGCCTGACTCACGCCATCGACTTTTTGGGTCTAAGACATGTCGTTTTCTTCACGATGTTTTCCTTCACCGTTCGAGCAAATGTTAAATGCGCACATAGAAAGAAAGTCCATTGGTGCACAGCCGGGGATCGAACCTACGACCTCAGGTATGATAGTCGCATGCTGAAGCCACTAGGCCAACACTGCTCTAGCTAGCTAAATATGTAAGTTAAATATTTTAATTCATATAACGTTATATGAATACGAACATATTTAATGAATAATGCATTTCCAATGAAATGGTGCGAAACTGATCAATGCGTCATAAATAGTCCACCCAATTGAACAATCACATTATGAGGCTCCTGCCTCATCGTAATAATATAACAATGGTTAATTTGGCACCACGCTTATTGATAACGCGATATGAATTACAATATGTCGAACTTTTTTTCTTCCTGGATATGATAAAAAAGAAAAGCAATCCTAGGCCAATATCCATGTAGAGCTGTTACGACACTGGTTAATTAATTACGTGTTGTTCTAATACGACTTTGCCTCAGTCACGAGGTTTTATATCCACTCGATGCAATGAAATCAAGCCGAAATGCCCTTACTTCGATTTATAGCCGAAGTATACTAGGTTAATCGTTTTTTCGATGGCCTTCTCAAGAACGTCACTTCCCATACTCACTTTATCACTCTTGTTCTCTCATTCGTGTCAATGTGCTCTTTGACAAATGCTACGTCTGCAACTTTAAGCCTGTGTGCCTAAAATCTATTCTCGTGTAACACGTTGCCTTTTCTTTCATTTGTTTTATCCACATTCGCAATGGTTCCTGTGCAGAAGAGAATAAGTCCTCTTTTGCGATAACCGATAAAATTGGAGCCTCGCGTAGCCAATTAAGAGAACATCCATCATGGCTAGGCCACTGATAGGGGATTGATTAAGTTAGGACGTTGTCATTTTTTGGGAACATCACTGATCGAAAATTGGCGTAATTAAGAATAAATCACGCAGTCGTGGACCAACTTACAATTTTGATTTAACTAAAAAATATATTTGTAACTGCAATAATATGGTATTACAACGAACTTTACGTTACTATAAAATGTCTTCAACGAATATGTCTAAATGCGCCATTTTAACTAAAGTACTCATCTGCCTATTATTACAAATATATACATACATAAAAATATTTGACATGAAATAGAATATGTAGGTATTTTTAAAAATAGCGGCGTATGTTTAAATTGTCAACAGTTGATAATTATTTTTCCGCTTTATTCGAAGCTTTTTAACAAACGTATATAGTAACGTACAAGTGAGCTGTAAATAAAAAAAATATTACTATTTTTTAAGTCGGCTTTAATGAAAAGTATTATTCATGCTACCCCTGAGCTCAATACATATTCGTTATTGGCGAGATGTGTTTGAATTTTAGTAATAAATTATTTTACATTATTTTTTTTTAGCCTTAATTTAATGCCAATTAAATATTACCTAATTGTTACATATAAGCGCGAACTATGGACTCCCATCCATTTTTGTCATACAAAAGTCATAGCATTCTCGACTGGATGTTACCATTAGTAATGCACCCTACATCTCGATGCCTTTGTTTCCCTTCTGCAATAAATTTGCGACAATTCAAGAATTCCTCGACGAAACTCCATTATTTACAACATTTTTCACTTGATACTAAACGAGAATAATAACCTCATTTATATGCGGAGCTAACGTACCAAGAATCACGTCTAATTATGAATTCGTTGGCTAAGATTTAAGCATCCTTAATTATCTTAAGTCTGTTCAAACACAAATTATTCGCAAAGTTCCACGTCCCAGGACGCATAAGGATTAGCGCTTCACTAAGCCAAATGGCTCGACTAATATGAGCACTTTCCTACACTTTACAATGCACATCTGTCATTGTTAATGCTTAAGCCCACTACCGCCTCGCTGCACATTGTATGCGCCGCCTGCACTAAGACGCCAACGTTTGGCATTTACACACGATTATCGCCCTACTTCATTTTGTTTTACACCGAACTCACAAAGAAGTAAGTTGTTTGCAAATCCTGAAACGTGAATTATTATGAGATGATGCTACAGCTAACAACTAACCTTAAACCAAAAAAAATATATAGGAACTATATAAAATGCAAGGAGCAAAAACTTTGATAATATATACATAGGAAATTAGTGGTTTTAGTTTGCCTTTGACGCTAGAGGATGCCACACACTTAAGCCATGAACTTAGAATTATTTATTGAAAGCTCTGTATCTATTTACGGGGGAAATGTAAATAGCCCTTGAGTGGAGTTATGATCGATGCGTCGTACTTTCGATGACATTTACTAAGTGAACCCAATTTGTCTTTTGGTTGTAACCACTCAACCCTATGATTAACGAGGCTCCGATGTGTTACAACAAATCAATAGATTGTCCATACCATTTTTAATTAGCTAAACGCAACTCCTCATGTAGTGTATCAATTCTTGTAACAACAAATCTACAGATACATAATTTTTGTGGCGTGTCTACGTCATCATTTCTAACAATCCATCCAACCTAGAGATCCACCAAGGAGATACTCCCTTCTTTAGATTACTATTCATTTAATTATCATCCCAAGCGAGGCAGACAATCATAAATATTTGCTAACATAAGTAATAATATGACTGTAACTATACTTGTTCTCATCGTATAATATTAGTTAAAATAAAACAAATATTAGTAAAACCATTTTGGAGCTGGAAGGTTTTGAAACCTTATTCATATAATTGGCAATATTGGTGCGTATATCTCTATCGTATGCGATTGAGTTGAGTTTGTTAGCTTCAAGGAAAAATAAGGTTTCATTACATCAGGTTATGTAATGTAATTAAGGCTTTCCACACAGCTAAACAATTTTACATTGCAAACAAACATTAAGATCCTATGTTAATAATTCAAGATGCATGTCCTCAAATAGCAGTTTATGAAATTAGCTTTGTAATGGCCGAGATAAGAGTCACTTGCGTCAACTCAGACCAGCACTTAATTGTAAATGCTAAGTACGACTAAAGTGCCGTCTGAATGTTTATACAATTGCGGATAATCAACGCATAATGCCTTATTATTGTGGTTAACATCGTCAGACTCTTGAGAAATAACTATTGCTATGAATTATATCCTACGTAGCTAAACTCTTCAAATATATTACCTAATAAATGGCTCAAATATAAGAGTCTTTCCTTTAACTTCCATTTTGTTCCCTTTGGAGTAGAGACTCTTGGGCCGTAGGGTTCAAGTGCACAGGTGCTGACTAAAGATTTAAGTTGGCGCCTGGTAGATAGTACCGGTGACCCCAGAGCTGGTGCTTTCCTCGCTCTTATATATAATATTATATTTTTATAAAACAAAAGCTAAAAGCTAATCATACACAACGAGCAAATTCACCAACCTCGCCAACCTCACTACATATAAACTGTAACAATACATAATTACTAAATCAGTCTTATTACACCGTATATATAAAAGCACTCTTCTGTTTCTTTTCATCAAAGCGTTAGTAAAATAGTGCAATAACACTGATTGGGTGTTTATGGATAAGGCGTTTGACTAGACACGGCTTCATAAAAAAACATATATGTAGATATCAGATTGTTACTTTGGTAGCGTCTTTCGTATGCGTGCCAAAGCAAGACAAATGCATGCGACAATAATAAAATGAATTTTACTTTAATTTTATTTCGTGAGCCACAATTTTTCTAAGTAAGAAATAAAAAAAGTTAAATAGCAAGTTTCTTCCATTGGAATTTAACATAAAAATGTTACATCAGTGAAGAATTAGACTCCTCCGATATTTCAGATGTTACTACAGATCACCAAGACGAAAACATTTTATGGTAAATGCTATCTGCTTTTTGAATATGCACTTTTTTATAACTATTTAAGAGTCCGTGTGCATCTACATTGAAGCAATATTTCCTCGGAATAGTGAGATGTTAACCTACTCTCTAAATATAATCCGTGTATTTTACTATTATATTATCAAAATAACATGACGAGTGTTAAGCTGTTTAATATCATATTTTAACTTCAATTTAGGGTAAATCATAATCTTATTGCATCGATAATAATCTCAAGACATTTAAAAATTCTATGACTAAAATTACGCATTTAGCTACTTAATGTAATTAAAACGGTAATTTGGTTTTAACAATATTGATAATAATACTAGTGGTTTATTTGATCGGTGAAAAGGTGCTTTTGCTAAGTTGCTAGATCTACAAATTAACAGACTATCTGTCTGTAGTAATAGTACTTTTATTGGTCGACATTAATAGAGTTAATTTAGTTAAAGTTTAAAGAATTACTTTAAACCTTTGAAACCTAAAGACAATAATTATTAAAGTAATTTTTGACACTCGTTCCTATGACTGCCGTTTGACTCTAGAGTCGAAGCAGGTTCGGTCGCAGAACTGATACCTACACCAAAATGTCACGAAACTTGTTTATCACAAATTCAGATTGCTAATAAATACAGGAACTGGTTGATACAGCCAGTTCAGCTCAGTTCGATTGAGCAAAATTCCTATCGTTCTTTATTAGTTACTACCACTGACCTTCCATTCTCCATGCGTTATCCTTGAGGACGTTCCTGTACCATTATTTAGGTGCAACCCTCGTTCCTCTGACTCCTTCTCTGACGCCTAGTTTTTATAAATCTTGTAACTACGAACTTTCTCGATCACCTCAGTATTCTAAGAAAAATCATAATATGCTCATTCCTGTAGGCACACCAACAGATACGTCAAACTTTTTGCGTCAGGGGCTACAGCAAAGTTGAAGGTGATGTCAATGGGATAGCCATATTGCAAGGTTGAATCCAATTTTTATGTTTAAGTAGCTATTAAATCGTCGGATCGGAAAAGTTTAATCATGAAAACGTTTAGAGATCCTTCCGTCCCCACGTCGACCGATCGAATATCACCATAAATGTATACAAATAATTTAGCGTTTGTTAAATTGATAGAAAAATAGCCCTTATTAGTTAGTACGCTTAAGTGTTTTGATTTTAACAGTCAATTCGTCAAAATCAAATAGATCTAGTCTTGAATTGAGTTAAACAAACATGTGATGCGAAATGAAACGATCATTTTTTTTTAAATTAATAAATAATATGCAAGCATAGAATAACGCAACAAACACCGTGTTTCAGACTCAGACTGGCCTGGGAGTCTGAAACGCGCGGCGAACAAATTGCTGGAACATTCCACACCTTCATACTATTACCCTGACAAAACGTTTGAATATATATGAACCCGACAGAAGGTTTAAGTAAATTTGGCAATTTTCAGGAGCGTGCGACGTAGCAGGCGGTGCGGGGTCAGTAAACTCTTTGCCGACAGCCGGAAGCGCACGACTGGCGCCATCTTTTGACGCTGCCACGCCGAAGAACGTTACGGCTCTCGTCGGGAAATCCGCTTACCTCAGCTGCCGTGTCAGAAATCTTGGGAATAGAACGGTAAGTACTAATACGTAAAATTTCTTGTAAAATTTTAAGTTTTATTTCAGAAAAATTGTTCTCTGTAAACACAGTCTACCCGGGCCTACAAATATACATGACAGGTACCATATTGTAGCGAAAAGGAAACCCTTTGGGACCCCGCTACAATCCTATTTTGAAGACGAAAGGTTCTTTGTTGAGTCTCCTTCAATAGGAATACTTTGGTTGAAACCAATTATATGAAGCGCAAAATGCGTTAAAATATAATACTTACACACTTACTGAGTAGTGTACCCAATATAATTAAATTCGCTATTCTTATAATTAATATTCACGTTAATTTAAATATTCGTTATAATGCGGGAAGCCTCGTAAAACTATGAAAATGCGAATGATTTACAATAGGTATAAAATCGACATAGACAGCAATATGTTTCAGTCACCGCTGCTCCATAAACTAGGAATGCAATAAACCGCTGCAACAATAGGTGACCCACTTCCACAAAAAAATTGGCATTCGCCTCTCACTTTGAGCAAGAGTTTGGCAAGCCAGCTCCGAACTCGTAAGTTATTTCGTCGTATTAACAGTTTATGTTACCATGCTCGAAATGAACTCGAATTAAGATAATAACATGCCAATTGCCCTTTCGCGATTTCGCTCTATGTGCTTAACGACTTTGCATCTTGTCGTGCGTTCGTTCGTACTTGTACAATACAGTATTTTTAAAGCTGTTTCAGACTCAGTTAATATTCACTTATTATAATTTTATAATTAAATATTTAATACTTACCAGCTAAATATTTACCAGCTAAAGTTATATATATATAACTTTAGCTGGTAGGAACATGGTAGATGAGCATGTTTTGGTCTTTGACCAGTTCTGCAGGTTTATATTTGTAAAGTCCGTGGTTCGCATCAGTATAGCATAACAAAACGTGAAAAATTGTAGCTATTCATTGCGAAAGTAATTAAAAATTTCTTTAGCTGGTATCAAAATAAAATGTATGTCAAGCACTCAAGATATAAAAAATGTAGGTTAACATAATAAAACTCGAGAAAATATAATCGTGTCAATTTCGCAAACACACTGCAATTAAAAAACAAAACAACTCTATCACAGTTTTTGTGAAAGCAACGGAGTGGTTGGAGTGACGAGTGGAGGCAGTAGGAAGCTCGCTCACAATATTTGAACTTGTTATTAAATTTTTTGTACAGCGGTATGTTCACCTCGCCACCTCATTTATGGAGTAAAGAAACTATTTTCCACATGAGAAACTCAGTGCGGCACAACGTAACAGAAAATAAAAATTCATAGAACGCAGCCTAGACCTAGCTTTAATGAGCTAAGAAACATTAAAGTTATTCTAGGTAAAGTCTTTTTAAAAGTATATATTTTTAAAACGCAGGTATTGATCTTCATTTAAAATATTTTGTAATTAAAAAATTAAAGCATTTCCCAACTGTCTATTGAAAATATAATTATGGCGCTATAAGCATCGGCAACTTGATACAAAAATAGTTTCATAATTATTTTAATTGGAGAATGCATTCTTTCTAATGGTAAATTCACAATAGCGAGGAGTAATTTGAATTCCGACACTGGCACTTAGCGCAGAGATGTTTAAACGCATCTCGGCTGAAGTGGGTGTTTTGTGCGTGAAATAATGGCGTTGATGGAGTGGTACGTGATTCAGCAAGCGTGCAACGGCAAAGGGTGTCTCGACTATAATGTTTTTGTCTTTGAACACGCGCTGAATCGACTTTCAGATCGCAGCTTGGCTCTGGTGCTGAAAACTGAGTTTTTTTAGTATTGTTAAGAGCTATTCAAAGTGTGTTTTTATAATTTATTTATTAATTTGGGAAACAAACACTCTAACAACTCTATACAATAAAAAAAGTTAAAAAATAAACACATTAGACGAATCCACAAAAAGTTTCACTAATAAAAAATATAATACTTTATTTATAAATCTGGAGAACGACAAACATACTAGTAGCTATAATAAGGAAGAAACATACAAGGAGTAAGACATTAATAGTTGTTTTAGTAGTATAGGTAGTCTCAGTTAGAAAGTATCAGTTTGTAAGGTTTTATTAAAAACAGCAATATAATCGTTTAGGTTTTGTCATATATTGTCTTTATTTATCTTTTATATAAATAAGATCTATAAAACTATTTATATTCAATGTTACGTCGTGAACTAACTAACCTTATTTCACATTCTCTCGTCAACTGGAATAATATTTTATGTTTTTTAATTAAGAAACAGTAAGTTTGGCTGTTAATGGCTCAGAGCGGACCAGACCCTCCAACTTAAGCGGGCTAACTTTATCCGGAAATTTTGTATGTGACGAGAGAAACATAAACAGAAACTTTTTGTTTTATTATTTTTCACTTTAAACTCAAAATTTACTTTAAACATAAGAAAATAATCAAATCTATAAAACCTCAAAAATGCCGTGTTGCCGAATTGAGTATATCAATATTAATTTAAAGTAAGTCTTTAAACTACAGGAAAAGTATTGTCTTTTACTGGTCGCTTAGACCTACAAATTTATAATTGTACACTTCAACTGTTCAGCTGAGAGTTAAAAAATAAATTCTAACTGCTGCCTATTGGTAAAAAGAAGAATGTTTGTATTTAAGGCCAATATGCTATGTACATCTATTTAAAATCTATTCATCAACATTATATAAGTGATTAGCTGAGATTCAGAGCGCAGTGAAAATAAATGAAGGTGACGTAAACTCGTATAATGATTTGAGACTGGAGTTCTTACACGGACGCATTTGTTGATGGTAATCACCCCGTGAATATTCATGAGAGCCTGTTTACCCGCCTGCTTTTGTGGCTAATGCTTTCGTTTCACCACACAAACGTGTCGAGCTTTGTTCTTAAGTTCTAATGGATTTTTTATAATTTAATTTATTGTGTTTGTTTCAATTAATAAACTCAAACTCAAAATATCTTTATTCATATAGGTAAACAAGAACACTTATGAATCGTAAAAAAGAAGTTAAATTAATTGTAAATTTACATTTACTACCAGTTCGCATGTCAAGGGCGGAGAGCTGGTAAGAAGAACTGGCAAAAATACGTATTAACATTTATGTATTAATTATAGTATCGATTTCGGATAGATGGAAAAACGTACCAGCTACCTTATTATTGAAAGTAGCTACTAGTGTAAAACACATACAACTTTACTATTTAATGATTGCATGGTACATTAAAGATCATACAATCAATATTACAATTATATAGCAGAAATGTAAATGGTATATGTCAAATTTAATCTTGTCTTCAAACCTTAAGGATTATATTTATACAGGTCATAATAATATTGTGCTTCCGTGTATGTTTTGGGGCTCGCAAAGGTGTTCTTAGCCAAGTGATAAAGATGATTTATTATTTTTAATTATACAGCGCAAGTTAACTCGTTAACCCTGGCGCTGCCGAGTAATGATATTACAAAAGGTTAATTTTCATTCGTCTCCTTAAACCTTCAAACGTGTTAGATGTTGCGGTAAAACGAATTGTACCTACAACGAGTTTATTTATATTTTAGTAATATTATGTGACTCTTTATTTTTTTTGCAGTAACCAATTTTTTGTGGAATCTTTCATTGTAATGAACTAGCTGCCCGTCCCGGTTTCGCTTGGGTGGACATTTATTTTTTAAACATTTTTTGTAGATATTGATATGTTCTTTAATATTGTGGAACATTTTTTGTTCAGTTTTCGCAGCGCATGCGATGAAAGATATTTTATAGGTATTTCTTTACACCTTGGGTAATATTATTGTAATATTAGTAGGGATCCTTATTTTTCTTGCAATTAAAATAGCCCATATTAATCAGTGATATGCGTAATAATGCTACACATTCAAATGGTGAAGAATTTCTAAATCCGGTCGAGTACTTTTTGAGCCAATTCGTTACAAACATACTTACATACAAATCTTTCTTCTTTATAATATTACGTATAGTATAGATAAAGCTTTACAGGTAAATAATGATTGATGTCTTTTGTTAATTTAGATAAATAATTCAATTAATTTAGTGTTTTAATTAAACTCCTAAACGGCTGCACTGATTTTTATGAGTGTTCAAGTAGATTCGAGAATGTTTCAGATTATTTTGTTTTTTTTTAAATTTGAAATGTTTTATTAAGGACATGTATGACTTTATTATACAAGGATATGTATAAAAATGTGATATTTGTCCACACTAATGGCCAATGTTTTGATTACAAAGAAAAGTTTGAATGGCCTTAATAAAGTTAAAAATGTATTAAAACTGCTTTGACTAGCTATCCTACATTGGCCTCTGCAAACAAAGTTGTGGAATGACATTACCATAACCGTTCCGAGTTATGTCTCCCCCTCCCGTCATTGTATTGTTTGGGAATTAAGTTTTATTGGGCACTGCAGGGAAATAATTTGGTCTATCGTGTTCCGCTGTAGCCTGAAGGGTGCTTCACAGTTTTCAGCTTTACGTCAAACTTTTATGACATTTTAACTAGCATCAGAGTCAATTTGTCAAAATAAGATTTTCTTGTACGAAATAAATACGAGTATATACAATTAAAAGACGATGTTTCTAGAATATTTTTAATTTAACTTTTTCTTATTTCTCAAGTTTGGTCTCAAGAGGTCTGGCGTTTGATCCCCGGTTGTGCTCTGTTAAAGCATCATGACTGAGAACTGTGTTGGTTTTGGCCTAGTGGCTTAAGCGTGCGACTCTCATACCTGAGGTCGTAGGTTCGATCCCCGGCTGTGCACCAATGGACTTTCTTTCTATGTGCACATTTAACATTTTCTCGACTGAGGAAACCGACATGTCTTAGACACAAAAAGTCGGCGGCGTGTATCAGGGACTGGAGGCTGATCACCTACTTGCTTATTAGGTTTAAAAATTATCATGAAACAGATTCAGAAATCTGAGGCCAAGACCTAAAGAGGTTGTAGCGCCACTGATTTATTAATTTTTGACTGAGAACTAAACATTTAGGTATTGTGTTAGGGACATTAAAAAAAATCTTCACCGATTCTGATGCAAGTGTTTGTCGAAGACCCATAAAGCGCTGCTGTATTATTTATTATTAAAATTTAAAATACTCCAACACGCGCCTACATGAACATGATAGGTGAATATCAGAGGCAGATACTCGCAACACGGTTGACCAGAAATCATTGATAAATCGTTTGGCGGTTGAGTTTGTGTAAATCGAATGCAGTTCATTCGGTTTGCAACGCGATCGGTACGAGTAGCGAGCTGGCCGCTCTCCAAAATAGCGTTTTTGCTGTTTATTGTAAATAAACATCGTAGAAAATTCCACTGAAAGTTTACTAAGCCTTTTCAGCCGATTTGGCGAAAGTTTGCCAATGTTTACAGCAAACGCTTCTGGCTGTCTCTTCGGTGCTTTGTTTTTTTAACATTAACAATATAAGACCTCTTTAAGCCTTATAAACCTACCTAACTAATAAAAAACAATAAACAAATTGATGGAAACAAAAGGCAAATCGCCAATCTTTCTACCATCGAAAAAAGAGCCGAACAAACATTTTAAATACAAGTATAAGTCAAATAAAATTCTCGATTCATGCTAATTCAATAAAAACACAATTACTGAGATTTTTCCGAGCGGCAATTCGTTTCGATCTGTCATCAGTTTTATAACTAAGCCAATAAAGGCGAAAGTTGCGTGCGACAAACAGACAAGTCGTTTATGGGTTTTATTGAATGCGCTGAGATTACAATAACTTGAGACGAGGATGATTTATCGGCGCACGCGGAATTCGACTTTATTGTTGTTTTCTTTAATACTTTCGCTTTGAGTTGCCGAGTTAAAAGATTCAACTCTATGTGGAATTTACATGTAAGATGTCTTTTAGAAGCTCAATCGTTTTCGAATAAAATATTCGGATTTTTCATGTTAATAAAACACGCTGAGATAAAAGGCACTCGTATATGTTTGAGAAAAGAGATTAGCACCATAAAGTCGAGATAAAGGCTAAGACATGTAAGCAGTGTCTTGTTACGCCCTTGTGAAGCAACGAGTCGAAGAAATAAGATCATTATCTTTAGATAAAGACCCTTTGTCCGCGACGTATGAACTGAAAAAAAATGCCATTGAGTTAGGCTAGTAACAGTTTTTATGTGATTACATGGAAAAGGGAGATTTTCACCCATTAGTTCTTTTAATATTGATAAGTCTTAGCTAGTAGATATAAAAAAATAGTATAAAAGGAATAACACTTCTCGTAAATTGTAAAATATTAAGTTCTGATTCAGATATTTCAATACGACTGAGTCCGCTATTTTATTTTTGTTTTATGTTTACCGAGTTCCTTTCTCGTCTTACCTTTAAAAAGGGCTGAAAAACCACAATGACTGTACATACGCGGCATAGGCCACCACCGACCGGCGAAGACTGCTAAGCGGCTTATCAAACAGCTTTAATTTCAACTTTATTACGCTCGGGTTCTAATTCGCTTTCCTTTGGTGTTATTTTTGTTAATGGAATGCTTTATTCAATTTTCTTGCCTTTCCAAACTTTTTCCTCTTTTAAATTTTGGTAAAATATTGAAGTTTGTTTGGAAGTATGTAAAGTGGCTTGTCATTGATTAAATAACGAAAAGATGTTTGGCTCCTTTAACAATTGCAATCGATGGAATCGCTAAAACTTGTCAAACACGCGGATGCTCTTGACTTTGTCCGTGTGTAATTAAGTACGCTATTTCCAAAGTTGAATAGCTTTTAAGAGTATGTTATTGTGATACGGTGCCTAAGAAGAGCTCTCAGATTAAAATATATTACGTAGTTTATCTACAATACTAAGTAGAGGACTTGTAAGCTTGTAATCAAAACAAATCAAATCAAAATTATTCATTTAGGTACCACAATGCACACTTATGAAGGTCAAAAAGAAATACATATTAAATGCTTCTAATTTATTACCAGTTTCCAAATCAAGGGACTCCTTCCAATAATGGACGAGAAGAACTGGCAATACACTCTCCGCCACTCTTATTATTTGCCACCTTTTTTTATTACACAACGTTTGTAAGGAGCTGCAACCATTACACCCATGTTCCACATGACATCTTAAGTAATTAATAATAATAATATAAATTAAAAACAAAGACTTGTCCTCTATCAGCAGGAGGCATGGTGAAATAGGAGCCGGCACTTACATTCTCGTGGGAACAACACGCAAATACATAGTCGAAATAACTATATTCTGATAGACTATTATCATTTTTATTCAAGTGATTGTTTCATTATTCTTTTGTCATGGGTTTCTGAACGACAGACGTTTGCAGTTATTATCATATAAACATATTAACATATAATATCTTTATTTTCATTATATTGAGGCAGTCTTTTCAAGATCCCGAAAGCAAAGAACTCGCAAAGTGACTCACCTGCCCTCATTGTGGTACCTCTCAATCCAATTTCAGGAAGTTTAATTAAAAACTTTAAACTCATCATAGATAATAACTTTTAAGATTAAGTTTAGTGAAGTTTTATAATTAAAAGATTTTACCAGAGTTGTCAACATAGGTCTCAGCTCAATATTCAATTACAATATCTACGAGTTCATTTCCAGGAAAACAAATCGCACGCAAAAAAACAAGATTTCGTGTATTAAGATTTATATAAGACAGATGTTTATCTATACATAACATCCATTATGTAGATAAATTAACGCAGAGAGGTTATAAGAAATTACAATTTATTTTGGTGAAAACTAAATAAGTATTAGCTTTACATGTTATACGTAAATATGCTTAAAGCTTTATTGATTTCATTGTGCAATACCGTTGCTAATAGTATATTTGCTTATAGGAGATACAAATTGTTTCAAATGATTGCTACGATATTGTGTGCTGATCTCGTTGTAAAAAGTTACTTATTTTGTTCATTAGTAATGTGTTAGCACACGCACCACTAGTGTTTTCCTCAGTTATAATTCAATTTGCTGAGTAACGAGGCCTCGTATTTCACTTGTTTACACCGTAGGATTCGGAAATCTAAAAATATCCCAATTTGCCCTGCACTAAAAATGATATAGGTTTATCTAAACTATTGTAGTCTTCAAGACCTTTTATCTGTGATCTTAGCTTATTCTATACAACCCATTTATTAACGAAAACCGTCAACTAACTGTTCAACTATTTATTATTATTTGACGAAAGTCTATTTAATGCTTCACTATATTGTAGAATCAACAAAAACATTTATTAATATTATTAACTATGGCATTAATAGTAACAATAGGAATGGTGAGAAAGCATAAATTAAATACAGATGAAGGACCTTCGAAGATCAGTGCGTGTTAGCGCGGCTTTACCTCCATCAATGAAGGTAGCAGACATCGCAGCGAAGGGCAGGCGCCGTAAATCTGCCGGCGTATCGGCAAATGTACCCTTCACCGCGCCACCGCACCTGATAAATGGCCGACAATGCTACAAATACGAGATAATTAATATTTTAGTCAGATGAAACACTCCAGATATTTAGGCTGCGGGTTGACTAACATGCGTACATTATAAGTTTGTAGGTTTCAAGAATAAAGCCACTTTAATTCCATACTGTTAAAAATTACATATCAAATGGGTGTTAGTTTTGTTGTTATACTCTTAGTTTATGTTAGTTATGGTTATTTTCTTTACTTTGTGTTCTGCAGTATTGACACCTTTTGGGTAAAAGCCTCCTCCTAAACTTTTCGTTTGGATGTATTCTTAGCTTTTTACGTTTCTTTTTCCTGGAGAGGAGGACTCCAGCGGGACTCAGAAAACCAGTTTAAGAGTTTCTAAATAATATTTCAATTGACAAGAATTTCGTATCATTGAAGCGTAATTCGACAGGGATATAACTTTCGCTTCTTACACAATTCCATACTCAAAAAGTGCTGACATTTTTATCGTATTTTAAGAGCACTCTTAGGAGTAGCTTACAATTACAACTAGTTAGTTAGGTTAGTTTTCTTGGCACCAGGAGACATTATCGACCTTTAGGGACCTCAGTTTTGACATCGAGAGCGCGGCAATTCATTTTTTTCGTTATTAAAACACTATTACATATTATTTTATCACTATAAGAGATATACCATGTCAATATCTTTTTCTAAATCTTCTTCAAAAAAAACTCTTTGTTGGCCATGTTAACCGACACCATTTCTACATCGTAGTCTCATTTATCGTACAATTAATAATATCACAAAGCGTTGTTTTCCATTAGCCGATAATGAAACAAAACAAACCCTTTCAATTGAGAGTCGGCGTTCGGAAGATAGCGGCTCACCATTGTTCCTTTCATCTCTTTGTTTCATTTGTTAAAAAATATTCCCATCGAATCTTTGCAGATTCAACTCACGTTTTAACCGATAATGAGCCGTACACGAGTATCGCGGCCACAGATTTATTGCAACAGTATGGCTGTACGGGTTAATATTTCATTTTAAAGTATAATTTGGTTTTTTGTTATTTTTTATAGCTTAGTTGTAAATACATATATATGGTTATTTTATATTCTATAATATGTAACACAAATGATACATAAATAGAAGCATCCTAAGTAATCAAATACGCACATCGTGTTTGCAATTTGCCAACTGCTATTTCTCTGCCTATTGATCACAGAATCGTAAAAAATTCGCGTCTATGGTGAGGCCCAATCGTATTCAGCTGTCCATTTGGAAAATACGTGCGTAACGCGTACCCTTCTGTTTCCACAAATTGTACTTGTTTATAAAAGTGAATGTTTTATTTATCCCTCGTCGAGAAGGCTCTGATCCACTTTTCAACTCTCTCGAAGGCACCGCCAAATAACTTAGTTTATTTTGAACATTTTTTGGCCCAAATTTGGCAAAATCACCGGTCTCAATACAAGCAGGGTTCTTTCAAAACAATTATTTGAATAATACTTGTAACTTATTCGTTACCTGATATTTCTTTGATGTTGTTAACTTGCCGAAGAAACTCGGTACATTTAATTTGCCATCTGAAGTCGACTGTTCAATTTATTAATTAACAATTATGTTATCAATACTTACTGCTCCTTACAAACGTTGTGTAAAAAAACATGGCGATTAAAAAGAGTGGCGGAGAGTTTATTGCCAGTTCTTCTCTTCCGTTCTAGCCCTTGATTTGAGAACTGGCAGTAAATTTAAATTAGATGCATTAATATGTATTTCTTTAATGACGAATCACAACTGTACATTGTGTTACCTACGTGAATAAATGATTTTTGATTTGATTTACCACATTAATTACACACACATCTATTGAATGTCTGTTCATCAAGGTGTTATCTTCAATGTGTATTTCCAAATATAGAATGTAAAAAAGTGTTAAAAGCGCAAGAAGAAAACGTAGCCAAGTTAAAATGACTGGATTAAGAGATTTACAAATAAAAGTATTTTCGAGATCTCTGCTTCATTATCACGGGATTAACTGAGCTCGTTTTTATTAAACTTGTGTTATTTGATTTCCTTATTCTTCAACTCTATCAGTTCAGCTACATTTCAAGTAGATGACTGTCTTAGAATCATTAAAGGAGTTGTATTTATATTTAAAAAAAAAAAACATTTTTCTTAATTTCTTGCTAAGTGCAAAACTTGAAGACGTCTGGACCAATTCAAGATTTTTTAATGGTTTTTCTTGAACTCTGATGAAGGATTTTATGGTGACAAGACTTATAAAAATATATTAATAAAAAAAATTAGTTGTTTTAGTACTTATGTTCTTTTATTCCAGAAAAACGAACAGTTTCTATGGGGTAGCATAGCAAAATGTTCGCGGATGCCGCTAGTATAATTTATATGAGTATTCTGCGGTTTCATCTGAATTTCGACACAACGCTGTATGAAAAACGACGTGCCTGGATACTAGTATTTAATTTAGAAGAAATGTTTAACGCTTAAGCATCAGTATTAAGGGTCATTATTCTGTTTACCATGATTTTATTTGACCGCTTAGAAACGCTTACTCCTTGCGGCTACCGATAGGCGATAAAATTCATTTAATTAAGTTACTAAAATTTTGTCATGTGAAAATATATTACGTTAAAAATAACACATTAATATTTTAAAAGTGTCATTAATCGTAGAAGAAACAAGAAAAGATATTTTATCGTTGTTTTTATAATCCCAGTAATATTTGAGGTACAGATAGTCCGATATTTAATCAATGTTCGTAGCACGCTCGAAGCAGACATTGCGCTACGTCGTAGACACGGGATGATTGATGAACGCTGTCACTTCGTTGTACATTTTATATCGACAAAATTGCATAACTTTAAACACGGAAAAACAGTCTCAAAAGAACCCTGAAAGTAGTCATAAAAGCTTTCTCACACAAAGGATTTAAAGCTGGCACCTTCAATAAATTACGTAATGACAATTAATCATCCCTAAGAAGATCAAAATCCATTAAGAATGTTCTCGTATAAATCGTGTCAAAATATTTTATTTTTGGAGCCATTGAGTAAAGAATTGAATGAACGCAAGCTATAGACTCATTATCTCGCTTGACCGGTTCGTTCGTTCAATAAATACTCTCTTGAAATCATTACCAAACTTCAATATTCAGAGAAAGATCTTAGATTCTCTCGTTTTGATAATGTTCACGCAAATATGGAAATGAAATTATTTACATTTCATTTGAATTCAATTTAATAAAACAAAGCAGCTCTATATGGGTCGATATTTGGCGTTTAAAATAATATCGTCGTCGATTTATCTTTTCTCCGATTTTCTTAGATTTTACGTTTAATACGTAAAGATCCCTATTTAATGCTTTAATACTTATAAAACGTGTAAGTATCTATTCATTTCGAACCTTGAAAAGTCCAATTATATTGCGAGCAAACAGTGCGAGGGGTCGAGAGGACCGGTCGCTGTAATTAAACCACAATCGGGTCGGGAATCAATCGACCGCCGCCTGGTGCCGTGACGTGTCTTGCTGCATTCCATCTCCATGCTCACCTCAGCTATGACCTCATTATTACGTTCATTGGACTTCCACATTTACGATTGAATACTCATCGGTTCATTAGTAAACAAAAACGTGTCAAAATTTTTAAAACATTAAATAAAATTGTAATCAGTTAAATAAAGAAAATCTACTGTAGTACGCTTTATCTGTAAATATTTTACTCAATAGCCATTGAATAGGCTCCATGTTTAGGACGTTGAAGTTGCCACGTTGGCTTGACTAAGTTCTGCAGTGCGTCAGGCATGAGAGGACAGTTTTACTGCCATAATTCTTTGATGTATCGTATTGGGTGTAGCTCTAATAGTATCCCGGATATGTTGTTGGTTTTATTGTCATAAAAAACACTCAAACGAGATGACAACATAGCCACTTCTGCTTTTAACTTTTAGTATTTATTTGGGGACTTTTTGTTACTTATTTTATTATTATTAGTTTCATCATTTTATAAAACTTATGTTAAATAACCGAAGACCAGATCTTTTCACGCAACATAATAACAATCAGACCTTGAAACGTGACTATAAAATAATATAGGTACTGATCGATTAAGCCAAATCATTGATCCGTTGCAGAACAAGCACAAATTCTCATTAAAGCTGAAAAAGAACTCGCTAAGAGCCCTGCTACGTCTTCTCTATGTAACATAGAGTAATAATGCGGCATAGAATTGTAATTTATTGACGTTAATTATCATATTTAATTACTTGAATATGATAAATTACGTCTTAAAAATTATAAAATAAGAAAAACACAAATACTGGCATTGCCGGCGATCCTTGAATCGTTTCCCTGCTAAACCCCGACAGAACCATAAAACTAACTCAAGCCGGATAATAAAAATGACCCAGGCCGGTTATGAATATTACAAATGCCAATAAAATTACCAACAGCGAGGTGATTGCACGTAAAACCTCTTTTACTACACTTTGGAAGATTTCCTTTAATTAATGATGTAAACTCTGAGGCCGCGACCTCTCGCCCGAAGTGCCTCTTGTTACCTCCGGGTTTATTCTGACCTCCTTTCCACTATTTATATACAGCGCCCGGCTATTAAAGTTATTTGTCGCTAAGCTTGTCTTGACAACAAAAATTCATGCAATACCTGCTTCTGTAACATTGCATATATATTGCTTACTACTAGTAGTATGTGGTCACTACATGCTCCTACAATATTTAATTTATTTGTTTTGTATTAAACTAGTGTTAAAAGAAGATATATGTACGTGATTAGTAAAATAATATCACAATGCGGATTTTCTAATCAGTAGTGTTATATGCACTAGTTATGTCAACGTGACAAAATAGTATTGGGATCGGGAAATGAGAGAATTATTGCAATTAGTACAGTGCTTATTATCGTCACGATATCCGAACATTAATACATTGTAATTTCACAAATGCTGTCATAATAATTTGGACTATGAGGTGTGACTTGTATAACACTGCTTTCACTTGAATAACTAAACTGAAATACGCAGTTTTACACATTTTAGTTCATTGCGAATT